GTCCTTCCCAGGTGTAATGTCCTTATCTAAAAAATACGATAAACAACAAGAATAGAGTAATACTTGAGTGATACTCAAGTGAAAATCTAAACTCAGCATAATAGAGGAAAAAATAAACAAGCAGCACGGTTTGTGCGATTCTTATAGTTACCTAGTTAGTTTCTGCATTGCCTACCACGTACCTTTGACTATAAATACATGAATATTGCTTGTCTCTCATATTTATTATAGGAAATGCGATGCATATTCTTTGTGTCGCCGAAGTTGGCTAAAGATTGTTAGGCTTGCGAACAGTAGAGACCGATAAGTTCAAATGCGAAAATTGATATATACTGACCGTTCTTCTTCTTCTTCTTCTTCTATTTTTCTATTATTTGATTTTCTGATTCAGATACAGAACTATAGTATCAGATACAGAAATATAGTATCACCAGCAAATTAATGGATTCTGAAATCATTCGAATAATCTCTTCGGGGAGCAGAACCATTTTTGCTGACCATTGCACACCATAAACGTGTATATACTATAGTCAAAGCTCCCCACTCTCGCAGAAAATTACTGTCCGGGGCGAAGCTTAATCTTTCAGCATAGCGACATATCTGAAATTAGCTACTGGCAGTCCATGTGTTTATAGTCAAAGCGTACCGTGCTACTGTAATCGCACTCTCAAGCTCTATTACTGAAGTAGCACATTAGTCCGCATATCGAACTAATCTTATCATGTACCAATAATAACAATATGTACTAATAAATACTAAGCGTTTATTGGACTATAGATAAGGTCCAAGAAGGCGGTGAAATAGCCAATAAAAAGGCTGTTAACAAAATAAAAAAAATGCGCTACTTTAGTAATATATAGAGTTTTACACAAGCGTCATTCTATTTTTATCACTTTCTAAATATCAAGAAGGATAGAATGACGCTTATGTCGATTTGTGTTATCAAATGGAAAACACACTCTATAGCCAATCAACAGGTTTGAAAAATTTATTGTACGATAAAAATGCACAAATAAAATATCACCCATAGATCTTGCGGAACAAGAAGCAGAGAAATGACGAAAAGCGCTAATTTTAGAGAGAACGCTTGCAAATTGAACACACTATTTTACATTTGATTAACACATTTTAACACAAACGGATATAGGAATGTACAAAATGTAACATTAGGCCTGTTCATTTTGCCTGAATTTTTGTTTATATTAGTTCATCTTTCTTCCTTTTCTCTCCAGTAGGAAAAAAGAGGAAAAAAGATGAACAAGTGCAAAAATTCAATAAAAAAGAACAGAAAAGGCCTATCGTACATGTTCCTATTGGAACAGTACATGTATGCTGTGCATAGTTGAGATCCATTTCGGATAGAGTTAGATTAAATGTAGCTTTTTCCGTCTGTATTAAACAAAAAAAAGTAATAGTGTCGACCACTCAACGTCCTTCAATCTTATTTATAGCCGCCGCAGTTAATAACATGTAATTGTTATTCAGAAAACAAACTCAGGGTGCAATTATATATAGAGTCTCTTTAAATTTGACTTCTGTAATCTTTGCATTCCTCACATGTATTTTTACAAAATTTTTACAAGTAATGTTATGCCCCTTCCAGGAGATTAGTTAAGTTATACGTCATACGTGAAAGCTTGTGCGTTACTTACGTTTACAATTTAAGTAAGTGTTACGACAATTTTTGCAGTTTGATTTTTTCGTAGAGGGCTTTCATGCATGAATAACTCAACAATTTTCTATATGGAAATTTTTGGAAACTTTCAAACGAATATTCCGATGGCAGTTGCTTTTCTTGATATCAAAGCAATATATAATAATGTTGTATTAATTAACAAATCTGGGTATCCCTCTCATGTTCTGCCGCTTTATTTACAATTTGGTATCTGCGTGTCAAGTGTGGTGTAAATATAGGGAAATAGAAAAAGTTTTTTGACTTTTCAAAGAGCTGCCACAGGGCAATTCTGTACTGAGCCCTATGTTATACGCTATCTACATCACCGAATTGGAGGAGGTCAACTACTAAGAGTGCAAGATAATTCAGTACGCAGACGCTGCATTTTTTCTGCTTTGGACTCGATCGAGGATTTGAAATAGAGTCGAAAGTGCAGCTAATAAGATTTCTGCCTCATTAGATAGTCTTATCTTGTCAGCAGAGAAAACTAAGCTATGTGTATTTAGCATTATATAGCAAGAATAATAAAGCTCTTAAAACTTAAGTTAGGCGGAAGTTAAGTATAGTAATGTAATTAAAAAAGATCTTTCTCGATTCGGATTCAGAGAGAAATTATTGCAAATCCTGATAAAATAAAATTCTTAGAGATAAATTTACAATCTAATTTAGAATAGTCTACCCATGTTAATTATATCAAAAGTCATTGTATTTGTTCATTACGAATTATAAAGTGCATCGGGCGCCTTTGGTGAAGCGCCGATCCCAAATTACTTAGATTAATTTATTACGCCTTGATTAGATCTATAAGGTCTTTCAATAGGGACGCTCGAAATTTGTTAGATCATAGTAGCCATATTGTTAAAGTGACATCTGTCAAATTTGTTGTGAATTGTTTAATAGTGTATGACAAATCATCATGGAAGGTCATAGTGTTGAGCAACGTGTGCAAATCATAAAATTTTATTATTAAAATCAGTGCTCCGTTTGAGAAACGTGATTTTTATCCTCGCCACAACCGTCCTGCCGAATCGACTATTCGATATTTGGTGGCCAAATTCGAGTCAATCGGTTCGATAAATAATCAGCCAACACCAGTACGTCGCCGAAACGCAAGGTCTGCACCTCTATAAAATTCAACTGACCCAGGAACTTAAGGTAAACGACCATAGACAACGTCATGGATTCGCTGATTGAGTTCTGGAGCAGTTGGAAGTTAACCCAAATTTCGCCAAACAAATCATCTTTAACGATGAGGCCCATTTTTGGATGAATGGATATGTGAACAAACAAAATTGTCGAATTTGGGACGATATCCACGCGAGATACACCATACACCAGCTCAAATGCATCCCGAGAAAGTCACTGTTTGCGGATTTTGGTCTGGCAGAATCATCGGTCCGTACTTTTTTCAAAACGAAGCGGGCGTTGCCATAATCGTCAACGGCGAGCGCTACAGATCGATGATAAGCAACTTCTTGTGGCCTAAAATGAATGATATGGATATCGATAACATGTGGTTTCAACAGGATGGCGCTACGTGCCACACACCGCATGCCACGATGGACGTTCTACACGAGCGATTGAAGGCATGGTTATCTCGCACGGCGGCGACGTGAACTGGCCACTGAGATCGTGCGATTTAACGCCTTTAGACTTCTTCCTTTGGGGCTATCTTAAATCGCAGGTCTATACGAATAAACCGCAAACAATTGATGCTCTCAAAGTCAACATAACAAACGCCATCCAGCAAATTCAGCCAGATTTATGTAAGAAAGTCATCGAAAATTGGACCGCCCGAATATGTGTCACCAAGCGAAGCCGGCGGACATTTGAGCAACATTATATTCCATACTTAATGCCATAAAATATTCTTTCAAATAAAAAAAAATTGAGTGGATATCTCACACACAACTTGTTTTATTTACATTTAAAAATCGAGCGTCTTTATTGAAAGACCCTTTAGAATATAGGGGTTTCATGCTTCAGGATTTTTCGAATAAGTTTTTATTTGAACTTAACAAAATTCAGTACCGAGCCCTCTTAGATTGGTCATGAGGTATAGACAGAGTATATTCCGATTAATTCTGTGCGAGGCGAAGGAGCCTCCCCTGCTTGTTAGATTCCGATACTTAGGGAGAAATTTCCTTCTAGACTAGCAACAAACTCTAAATGTCATCTATTTGGAAAAGCTTAAAGAATTGGCGGACTCCCACATAGTGCGACTACGTTAATCGAGCTCCGATTATGTTAACTCAGGAGGACGTAAACGTTAAAAAGCATTACCTTTCCAATCTTGATGATCCGTTGTGTTTCTCAAAATCATTCGATGCTTTGCTTTTTCGTCCAGAGGTGAACCTTGAAGATGGAAAATTCTTTGGCAGGTAAATATGGTACTGATGTTACTTTTTTAGGATTATTCAACGAGGAGATTAATTCATCCATCGTATCTTTTCACTAATGGATCATGTGTAGAAGATTCGCAATATGCTGATTTTGAAGTGATGTTTTATGATGGATCTATCTCCGAAGGATATAGGTGTGCGGGTTTTGTCTCTTCATTTTGTATCGAAGCAATGATGATTCTCATGGCTCTGGAACTAAGATGTATCTATAGGTCTAAGCTAACTATTTTCTCAGACACTAAATCAGTCCTTAATGCAGCGCATAGTTTGATCACCGGGATAAATCGCATCTCTTTTTATTAAGAATAGCAGTTCTTCTTTTGACTAGCGACAAAGGAATTGAGGTTAAGCTCATATTCCATATAGGGATTCCATATAGGGATTTCAGGCAACGAACAAGCGGATAGGCTAGAGAGGCTATTGCCTCTACAGAGATACGCAATTGAAAATTCCAGTGTCTGAATTCTCTATAGAACCGACAGATGTACAGGGCGGAATTTGGAATTTCAACTACCGGTTATTTTGAGTTTGAAAGGCGTAATAACATTTATAACGTATCAGAAATTTAGTTTTTTGTTTGATATTTACGAACTGGGTCGCTATAAGCTTGAACAAAATTGGGAAATATTGAAAACTTATTTCCAAAATAGTGAGTCTTCAACCCAAATTGTAAGAAATTTACGTGGAAAATTTGATAGAAAAGAAATGCCTTCACGCAGTTTGTGGATCAATTTGTGAAGCGAATTCAGCAAACTGGATCCTTATTGAATAAAGCAACTCGTTCACGTGCTCGTCCAGTAAGGTCAACCGAAACATTTCTGCTATTGCTCAGAGTGCTTTAACAATCAACATCAACTCCGCCATCGTTCTCAAAACTTGAACATTTCACTTACTTCTTTGAGAAGAATTTTGAAGACCTCGGTATGAAGCCGTACAAAGTTCAATTAGTGCAAAAATTGAAGCCGCATGACCATCCGATGCGTTTTCGGTTCGCCCAATGGGCTGAACAACGCTTGGTTGAAGATAAACATTTTTACCGAAAAATCATTTCTGACGAAACTCATTTTCATCTCGGTGGCTATATGAACAAGCAGAATTGTCGTATTTGGGGATCAGAGAATCCGCACGTCATCACGGAGAAGTCGATGCATCCACAACGAGTGACTGTTTGGTGGGGTTTTTGGTCCGGCGGCATCATTGGACCATTTTTCTTCGAAAATGAGCAAGGAGCTGCCGTCACTGTCAATGGCGAGCGCTACCACGCCATACTAAACGAATTCTTGCTTCCCAAATTTGAAGAGGAGGACACAGACGACATTTGGTTTCAACAGAACGGCGCACCTTGCCACACAGCCAACGCTACAATCGATCTTTTGCGCACTGTCTTCGAAAATCGCATAATCAGCCGAAATGCTGATGTCAATTGGCCGCCTCGCAGTTGCGATTTGACTCCACTGGACTATTTTTTATGGGGAATCGTCAAGGATGAGTGTTACACTAACCAGCCAGAAACGATTCAAGAATTAAAACATGAAATCAAAGTTGCCATCGATGAAATACGCGCCCATACAGTGGAAAATGTACTGAAAAATTGGGTGGATAGAATGGGGTATTGTGCAGCCAGTCGTGGAAGTTATTTGAATGAAATTGTATTTCATGTTTAATGGCAATGTACTATCTTTCCAATAAAGCCATAAACTTTGAAAAATATTCATGCGTTTTTTTTTAGAGCCAAATTAAATTCCAAATTTTAAATGGCCCACCCTGTACATTGTTTGGGTGGACGAGCGACGAGTCGCTCGCGGTGCAGGATATTACAACAACTATTTGGTCCAAACATGTTTGGTTCAGGAAATTTAAAATAAAGAAAAGGACACTTGTATTAACTATTAATAGAATTAATCGGACCACATATCCCTAAGGGAAAGTCTTTTCTGCTTTAGTATAGTGGATTCTTCACTGTATGTTAGATGCGGCGTATTTGAAACTCCAAATCATGTCTTTTGGGAATGTAGTGCTTTTACTGAACAGAGACGGATTTGTAAAATGCTCTGGTCAGGGCGAGAGGCCTTCTCCCTTACCCTGTCGAATATCTCATGGCTATAATTGATGAAGATACAATCTATATTTTAAACACGTTTGCGCTATTGATAAGTTTATTTAATGCTCTAAGTTTCGCCTTTTTTTGTTTTTTATGTTAATTTGATTCAATCTAAGTTAATGCGGTACATGTAACACTTGTTGTTTTATTTTACGTTATTTTATTTTACGTTATGTTATTTTATTTTACGTTATCTTAATTTATTATAGTTTGCTATTATATATTTAGTTGTAAAGAAAAGGTATTTCTCATAACTGTCCGCTGTTTTAAATTAGCTCTGATGGATCTGCTCTAGTAATTGTCAATCTAGCTTATTTATATGTTTTTGCGAGATATTATTGCGATTCGGTGAAATGAAAAATTTTATTTTATGATCTTTAGTTATAAGCTAGATAATCTAATATAAGAGCGTACAATCTGTGATTATGATATGAGAATCTTACATTCTCCTCACTAATGGAAATGTACTTTAAGCTAATGACATTAGTTTTGTATGTAGTACCTGTCTGATAGGCCCGCTCCTAATGGCTGTATCCCTTCTTATATTATCATAATAAAAAAAAGATATGGCAGCTCTTCCTCCCTTAAAATCTTCCTCCCCCCCTTGAAGGTTCCAGATATTCATACGTCCATGGTATCAACAGAAATACGCTACTATATATACTGCTCTTGTTTAGCGACGAGACACTATGTCTCCTGAATAACTGATTATAGTAATTAATTTTATGAAGCAACGTGACTGTACGTGGATGTATCTAACTGATCGCCGATTTGGTGAAAGATTCTGAAAGTTAAGATTTTTTATCTCCTTTTTTTGTTGAGTAAGCGATGGTTCCTAATGCTATTGATACCGTATTTGGTCACCAAAGACATGGCAGAACCTGAAAATTCGTCTAAAAAATATCAAAGACATTACTTGTCCTCCCTGTATATTCTTATACTGTGATTGCGTAAACAAATGACAAACTGTGCTGCAGTCGCCTTTGCAGGTTGAATATTTTATCTGTTCATAATACCGTCAGCTGTTATATAGCCGATTGTATTACCAAAAATGAATTTGATTCATTAATATAATAAATGAAAAAGGTTAAGAACAACTTGTCAAAATCACTTGTTCCATTCTTAGGAAGAACAGTTATGATTGGCCAATTTCATAACTACGAATGTTATTAAACCCGATTAAATGTACCGTGTAAATGTAGTTACTATATTTAAGACAGTTTTAAAATAAAAATGGACTATGAATACCGTCCCATGTTTAACGGAGCACTAAGGTTAGATAGAGCTACTAATATATTTCTCTCTCTCTGTTATCGATTTTGTAAAAACTACTCTGCATACAAAAGTCAGCTCAAATCATCTCGTGTCACGATTACAGTATAAGCACAGTCTAGATATTATATATGCGAGTGTCAGCGTCTTTGATGTAGGTGAGACAAAGTCACGTGATCTGTGGCCATTTTGAGAACTGTTACACGCGCTCACATTTAAATATTTTAGCTAAATTACGACACTGATTAATATGAGCGTTTTTAAATAAAAGACGCAATGTATCACAATAAATTATTTTATCTTTGTTTAATATTGCAAACAATAAGGATAAAATTGAATAATTGTTTTAAGCTATGTTTCTTGCTGGAAAACCATATAGTAAATGAAATTATAAAATAAATTATAAAATAAATATACTATTCATTTGTTATAAAATATACTATTATTGAAATGTGTGTGTGTGTGTGTGTGTGTGTGTGTGTGTGTGTGTGTGTGCGCGCGTGTGTATATACATATAAAATAAGGTATTTACAGTTTAGGTATTTATGTTTTTAAAGGAAAATTTTACTTCATTTAATAATCATAATATGCTGCTGTTCTGGAAAAAATAAATAATATAGAAAAATTAGAATAATATAGAATTAGACAATAGAATAAAAAATTCTTAAAAATAAAATTAAAATAAGAAACAAAGTAAAATAATATCCATTATTTAATACATTTACAATTAATACTGTAAATTCACATATAATTCTGTGTTTATTTTTCAAATATTTTTACTTTTACTTTTATGTTTATATTGTATAATAAATAAATAAATATGTAAAAAATACATAATAAATAAATAAATATGCTGAGAAATAAATATAGAAAATATAGAAAATATAGAAAAAAAAGTATGATTATTAATAAACAATAAAAATTATCAAATAAATATTGTAGTAGAATGAAATATTCAGTAGAATCAAATATTCACACACAATGATTAAAATTAAAACGATTAATGTATAATTGTAAATTTACTTTTTATTATAAAAAATAAATGTAACTTTAAATATTTAAAAATTATCTGCTTTAAAAACAACAATTCACTGCTTTAAACAAATTCTCTGCACATGTCTGATCCGTTCGAGTGATCTCACGGATTAGGTTAAATGACATGCTCACTTGCTCTAAATACTGAATGTTGGAGCACATGAAGCAACTGCTTTAACTGCCATTTTATCTGTGATCCAAGTGCTCTCTGGGTTAATTTGGAGCATGCGACGCGCAAACAAATCTTCTATCTAATATTATTCCTGATTTTCGATCACAACAAAATGAGCGAGTGTTTTTGAGTTTTCGATCACATTGTGTCTTGAATTTATTATTTTTTGAACAGTATGTCCAGTTTAAAACTGTCATAAAAAAATATATATTTTTGCAATTATGTGAAAGATTGCATATATTTACTAACTGTGGAACATTTTAGAGAACAGTTAAATAGTAGCAAAATATGACCGGATGACAAGAACATCAAGTATTATATTTTGGTGATTGTCCATTGTCTGCGATCTGGGGGTCGATTGCGCATCTCCAAATGTGATGATAATTATAAAGCAAATTCACTAGTGTATTCATATTGGATATGGGAAAAAGTTTGTGGCGATTTTTTAGTAAAATTAAAGTGTTTTTCTTAGAGTATTGAAATCAATTTATTTAAACCAAATATGCTCCATTATTTTCTATAATATTTTGTCATTTTTGGGGCATGGCCATAATTCCATGATAGAACTTCTGTAGTTTCTGATCGAAAAACTTCAAGTGATTTTCACAGACTTCTTTTGAAGCTAGCTTTACACTATTAAGAAAGTTCTGCAGAGACCTAAACAAATGATAGTCTGAGGGTGCTATGTCAGGACTATATGGTGGATGCATTAAAACTTCCCAGCCAAGCTCTCGCAATTTTTGCCGAGTTATCAAAGATGTGTGTGGTCGAGCATTGTCGTGGAGCATTGTCGATGGAAGACGACATCTCTCCTATTGATTAATAGGAGATTAATTCTGGTCGCTTTCTCTCAATTGCTTGTTGTAATCTCTGCAGTTGTTCACAGTAGAGTTCGGAATTCATTGTTTGATTGGACGATAACAGCTCATAATGAACGATTTCCTTCCAGTCTCACTACACACCTTCTTCCTCGTCAATCCAGGTGCGATTGCTTGCGCCTTCTCTCCTTTCTTTATCTACGATCTTTTTCTAGATGGATTGTCGTAGGTGATTCATTTTTCATCACCAGTTATCATTCTCTTCAGAAATAGCTCAATTTCATTCCGTTTCAGTAGCGTATCACAAATATTAATTCGGTCCATCATGTTCTTAACACTCAACTCGTGAGGAATCCAAACATCGAGCTTCTTTTTGTATCCAACTTTGTGTAAATAATTTAAAACTGTTTTGTGGTCGGTGCCTAGTTCCCTGGCAATCTCCACAGTGCTTATCACGCTCGACTTTTACCATGATTTCATCGGACTTTTCAGTGATTGATCGACCGGAGCGAGGTTTATCTTTCACATCGAAATTTCCAGCACGAAAGCGAGCGAACCATTTCCGTGTTGCTGATTTTGATAGAGTATTTTCATCGTAAATAGCGCAAATTTTTTCATAAGCCTGTGCAGCATTCTTGTCTTTATCGTAGAGATATTGCAAAATGTAGCGAATTTTTTCCTTATTTATTTCCATTTTCAAAATAAAATAACTTTTGATCCACTTCACCGATTTCAATCTTTTTCGGTTCAAAACAAAGATTAAAATGTCACTTTTTAAACGCACGTCTAATGTTGCTGATGCGATTAGTAGTTGCCGACTGCTGAGCATTTAACAGGAAAAACGCCACGAACTTTTTCCCATACCCAATAATTTAATTAGTCAGTACTTAGTAACCTTTGCTCATTTTTGTAATATTCACCTCCTTTCAAAATCCACAATCGACTTCCTGGCAGATTTTAAAACATGGCTAATGAATGAGAGCGATAATAAACGAACTGACGGTAATTCGAGTCAAATTTTTATTAATAATTTCTGTATAAAGCTAATTTACTTCCAAAAAAAAAAAACTATTGATATACTGAACTTAATATATGTAGATATGACAAATATTATTACATAAAAGATAAATTATATTATAGAACGATTCAAAGTTCAAAAAAAACGCGAACTGATTCCAGATGTTAACTAATTCGGTTTATGTATTTTTAAACTAAATCAATTGTAAGTTATTGACAACAGTTATATGATAAATCAGTGGCGCTATAACTGTGGATCTTAATGAGAACGACGATATGTGCAACCAATTTCTACTTCTGTCGATTTTATTCTAAAAGGCTCTTTTGAACAGAGACACTGGTTATTATCACTATGAAGTAAAATTTATTTTTCTATTAGTATGGCTAGTCAAAGTGTCAAATGTAACTGAAAACAAATATGACTGTTTTCCAGCTATGACACAGAGACATTACACTGTAAAATACTTATTGTATTGAAACGCAGTTTAATTTCATAGTGATGAATACCAGAATGCATTGCAGTCTTCCATTCTATTCTTATAATTATATTTAGCGTATCAATAAAGGCTTAAATACAATAGGCAATAAGCATAGGGAATTACGTACCGTCCGATGAAAGCTCCGGGATATATAATAAGTTCGATACATAACCTATACTAGTACAAACGTATCACTACAAAGATGCATGAAGTCCATGAGACAAAAAATATGGCACAGGGAATAGGAACAATTTTCCAACGCATTGGAATTTGATTGCTTGTTTCCTCTGTCTTTTTGACTAATTTTTTTTTGAGGTTATATTTTCATTCGTGAATTTAGTTTTGGCAAATTTCAGTTTAAAAGACATGATATTCAATCACGATTATTATCAGAAAAGAAAATTTCACGATTTATTGGAAGATAGCACTTTTCGAAAATGTAGACGACTTTAATATAGAACACTTGACACAAGATCAAAAAAATATGGGGATGAGCTTTAAAATTTGATTCGATCTAGGTCATTTCCTTATGATAAAATTCCTTATATGATAACAAGATTAAAAAATTTCGAGATACTATCATGAAAGAAAATGCATGAACAGAGATGGCTTCTATTTTAGGAATTTCAGGTATGTACATTATAATTTAACTGAATATATTTTTTAAATAATTTTTCCAATAACTAAGTACATATATTAAATATTACTTTTTAATGTACTTTATTAACTTACTATTTAATATAAATAAATTATTTAAATAGTTCTACATATTTACTTAAATAGTTCTATATATTTACTTAAATCAATTAATGTCTTTTGCTGACATGTATTAGTATCAAAAGCAAATTAACATTCAGATCAGATATTTATTTGCTCTTCTTGTTAAAAATATTTTTTTCTGAAATATTCAATGTTATGTATAAATATCTAATATTACAATTTATGGATAATGAATATTTTTTCTTTCTATTTGACAATTTAAAGAAGATTACTCTAAGAAGATTAATTTTATGTTTTATAAAAATTATTACAGATTTTTACTTGAATATATGTTATACATATATATCTTATAAGCTTTGTTTATATATATATATATTTTTTATTTTCATGATTTCAGAACTTAGTCTAATATTATACACGAAAAAATCAATTTGTGTATGAACATCCAATCTTTTACAGAAAAGTCTGCACAAAATGAAACGCATGATGAAATATGTTGTGATAACATTGATAGTGATATGCAAAAAGTTATTTTTTTTAGTATCTCGAAATTCTTTAATTTTTTTATCATATAAGGCATTTTATCATAATGACCTAGATCGAATCAAATCTATTAAAGCTCGTCCCCATATTTTTGATCTTGTGTCAAGTGTTCTGTATTAAAGTCGTCTACATTTTCGAAAGTGCTATCCTCCAATGAATCGTGAAATTTTCTTTTCTGGCAATAATCGTGATTGAATGTCATGTCTTTTAAATTGAAATTTGCTAAAATTAAATTCACGAATGAAAATATAATCTCAAAAACAATTAGTCAAAAAGGCAGAGGAAACATTCAATAAAATTCCACGTCGGAAAATTGTTCCTATTCCCTGTGCCATATTTTTTGTCTCATGGATTTCATCTTTGTAGTGGTACGTTTGTATTAGTATAGGTTATGTATCGAACTTATATACCTTTCATCGGACAGTACATAATTCCCTGTTCCCGGTGTCTATTGTGTTTAAGTCTTAATAGATTTATGATTTTTATTTAGACTTAAGTTATAATTTTTTCAGAATTGACGATTTTTGAAGGTTTTATTGCAAAATAAGTACGACTACCAAAAAACTTTTTGAAAAGTTGATAACATTGACATATTTTACACGCTCGTACTTAGCTTTTTATTGTGTCGAGCAATGTAACACTGTGTTATAGTTGAAACACTTTGTGTAAGACACAGTGTTACCTGTGTACATTGTTGGAAAATATCCTACATCAGTTTCGAAGTAATTTATACTTATTACATTCTCAATCATTGTTTTCAGTGCAATTTTGTGCAGAAAGAAAAGTGAACTCTCTCTCTTTCTCTCTTTTATTGGCATCTATGACTCAGACGAAACTAACCAATCGATAATTTTATACAATTTGATTTCAATAAAAGAAAGAACGAGCTACAATAAGGGTTGTGGTGTGGCGATGAATTTAAGATGGATTATTTATTGATCAATTTTATTCTGGTTGTATTGTTATATCGTTCTCTCATGGATATATTGCGTCACAATTAATAATAAGCTATTTATTGAGCTATTTTATTACAATTATCTCAAACATTGTTTTAAACACATCACATTTTTGAAAAGTAAACGCAATACTTTTCTTTTATAGGTATTAGTTTTATGTAACATACATAATTTTTATTTTTTTAAATGAATTATATTTGCTTATTATACTCTAGGCAGAGCATTCTATAGTTTAACAAAGATCACAAAGAAACAAAAAATTATCAAAGAAAAGTATACTTTGTTAAAATATTATTCTAAAATTTTTAAACAAAAAATCCACTTTATTACAACATTTTTTAATGAAACATAATTTTATTAAACATTGTCAAAAAGATTTGAAAATGCTGAGAGAAAATAAATTAACTGTTGAGCAATGGCTATTCTTATAGAATTATTTCTATCAAATAGTATTATTTTTGGATTATTTTGGCAATGATGAATTATCTAATTATTCCAACTCAGTTTGGAAGCAAATGAATAAAAGATATCAAAATATTTATAGTGCTCATAACTGGTTGGTTAATGTTAAATATAATAGATGAGAAATATTTTCTCTCGCAAGACAAAAAATGGGTTTGGACTTACTAGATCCATCAATAAATATATAAAATATATAATTTCTAGTGAAGTCGATAATAATAATGAATCAATGAATTTTTATAATTTTTCATTTGATTCTACTTATCAAGACACTTCGTTTGATTTAATATTAAGTGCAAATGAATGAGGGCAAATTAAACCACTTCAATCAGAGATAAAAAGATCTTATCATACATTAAGACCATGGATATGGACTAATGTCGATGCATTTTATGAATTTAATGTAGATATGACAAGTAATACATAAAAGATAAATTGTATTACAGAACGATCCGAAGTTCAAAGAAAACGCGAACTGATGTTCCAGATGTTAACCAGTCTAATTGAGAAACGTCTAATTGAGGACTATGAAGGACCAGAAATGAAAAATGAGCTGGATGAATGAATGAGAGAAATCAACTAAAAAATGAAATATATCCGACTTTATAATATAATAAAGCCTCCATAATAGAGAAATACTAGTTCCGCGCAAAATACTTCCATCTTATTATTCAGTATATATATATGTAATTTACATGTATTCAAATGAAGAATTTTCTTCATAAATAGCTTGCATTCAGAAAAACGTTTTTCTTTACGGATTTTGTGTCAAAAGGACACAGATGTTCATTCTTATCATAAACATTAAAAATAATCATTTTTTATTAATATATTTAACTTTGTACGTTTTTCTAACATTATTATTGCTTCACTTAAATATGTAACTTAACTTAAATATTTTATATATACAATAATCTTGAAAATAAACTATATATATCGTTTTAAAAATTTGTAGATAAGAGATATAAAAATTCACATAAAATGAGATGCGATGTAATATATGATATAACAAATTTATAGTTTAAATTTATAGTTTAACAAACATTTTAAATTGTTATTCTAATACTGAAGATGACCTAATCTAAGATCAAAATGTTTATCATTTTCTGTATATGAAATTGTTTGAATAGATATTTGCACTTAAATCCTATGTTCCTGATATGAACTATAAAACTTTTGTATCTAACTTTAGAATTGTATAAGTAAAAAGTGAATTTTTCAATTTTTCTTTGATTTTTTTGAAATCGGATACATGGATTTTTTATTTATGCGTATTTTAAGTCTGTAAAAAATATTTTACTATAAAATTAGAAAATTTTAGTTGTAATTCGTGATTGCCGTCAGTATCTCTTTAAAATGATAATTAATTTAACATTCTTATCTAGTTCAGACCTAATTCAATTCTCGAGCATCTTTTTATGAACGGTTGCCTTTGATCTTATAGATGTGAATGATGCTTTGCAACATTAGTCGCTCAGAAATAATTCTATAGAATCCGATGTTTCATCAAGTATACCTCTAAGACGATTTGCATGAAATCGTTTTTCTTCCACAACTTTACAAATTTGTAAAGGAATTGTGGGATCTCTAAGCTCCAATAGAATATAATCATTTATTTCAATTTTTTCGTTTCCGAGTAACCGATTTATGTTTTTTGAGCATCAACAATTTTATTTTCTTCTTCCCATACAATATCTTTCTTAAGTTTTTTAAAATCTTCATTTTTACTTTCCTGTATCATTTGATCTTCTATTAGACTTTCATATTGCTCTTCATTTTCATATTACTTTTCATCAGAATCATCTGCTTCCTATATAAACGAATACTTAAATATTATAATATATAAATTTTCAAAAATCAGAAAAAATATTAATCTACTTTTAATATTATTTTACCTTTAT